ACAAAAGAGTGGTCATCTTCATGGTAGGGGAGAAGGTCTGGAAGAAGTCAACTCCCTGTCGCTGACTGAAGCCTCGTACAACGTAACGAGCCTTGAAGACAGGCGGAGAAGCCGGCGGCCGCTTCACCATGAAAACCCACATGCCATCGACTACGTTCGCCCCAGGAGGGGGAATTGCGTCGATGTAGGTGCCTGTGGACTTCCCGGATGCCATCTCTGTGTCCATGGCTATCTGCCACTGAGAGGAGATCGCCTTAGCGTAAGAGCACGGGGTCGGGATGTCCGGTGCATCTGGGTCTCCCTCAGGGGCAAGCATCATGGCTACGAGATGAGGTGAAGCGGCTGCAAGACACTCAAAGTCCTCTTGCCTATCCTCAAGGACGTCCGTGCTAAGAGCACACCCACCTTTGACGGACACAGGAAGGCAGATTTAGAGTTAGCAACAAGACCAGCAGCGTAGTCGAGACGACAAGCAGTAGCAAAGTGAACAAACTCAGTGACTAAGGTAGACGTAGCAGCAGACTCAAACAAAGGGTCACTGACAACAGAGGCTAAGAGAGGCGTACGAGTAGGACTGGCAACATGAACCAGGTCATACTGAGGGTCCTGAACGTGTAGAAGAGAGGACGCAGGAGGAGACGGCAGAGGAATACGCCGTGGAACAGAGGAAGGTGCCACCAGCAGTGCCAGCTCCACCAGCACCTCCAGTGCCAACAGTACCACCAGCTACGGTAGCTTCAGTACCTCTAGAACGAGCACCTCCACCAGCAGTGCCAGCTCCACCAGCACCACCAGTACCAACAGTACCACCAGCTCCGGTAGCTCCAGTACCTCTAGAACGAGCACCTCCAAGACCAGCAACTCCAACACCTCTAGTACCTCCAGTAGCAGTAGCACCACCAGCTCCGGCAGCTCAAGTGCCTCTAGGACTAGCACCTCCGAGACCAGTAGCTCCTGCACCTCCAGCAACAGCACCACCACCACCAGCTCCAGCAGCTCCAGTACCTCCAGTACGAGCACCTCCGGGACTAGCAGCTCCAGCACCTTTAGCAGCAGCACCACACCAGCTCCAGTAGCTCCAGAAACTCCACTACCTCCAGCACCTCCAGCACTAGCAGCACCACCAGCTCCGGCAGCTCCAATGCTACCAGCACCCTCGGGACCAGCAGTGCCAGCACCACCAACACCTTCAGCACTAGTAGCTCCAGAGCCTCCAGCCCCAGCACCGCCACTCCGAAGGCTACAGCACCAAGCCTACCACTCACGCAACTGCTGTGGTGAGAGAGGCTCCCGTAGTGTAGACGCAGGATCCCTAGGCTCAGCACCCCAAGATTCAGCACCCCCAGACTCCACACGCTCAGGCTTAACACGCCCGGGCTCCGTACGCTCAGACGCAGCACCCCCGGACTCTTCACTCGCAGACTCAGCACCTCCAGGCTCCTCACGCTCAGGCTCCGCAACCGCAGGCTCAGCACCCCCAGGCTCCTCGCGCACAGGCTCACCACCCCCATACTCCGTACGCTCAGGCTCAGCACCCGCAGGCTCAACACCCCCAGCAGCACCAGAGTCACCAGCGACCTTGACAGGCTCAACCAAGGGGAGTGGGTCTACCTAAGACACACCTGAAGGAGCAGGACCCTGAGGGGGGAGGGGGTCTATCGGAGGGGGGCCTAGAGCAAGGAAGAGCGGCGAGGGAGGGAGAGGGGAAGTGCGGTAGGGGAAGAGACGGTAAAAGGGAACCGGCTCGTCAAACGTGACGTCCTAAGAGGACAGAATATGGCGCGAGGTGCGGTGGTAAAACTGCTAACCAGGCGCGTCAGGGGGAAAACCAAGGAAGACACAGAGAATGGCGCGGGCAGAGAGCTTATCCGCGGAGGTATCGCGAACAAAGGCACGAGATCCCCAGACCCGAAACACTAACGCATCGCCAACCTCTCTCGTCCAACGCATTGTCGGCGAGGTCTCCGGCAAGGAGACACGGGGCGAGGGGTTGAGCTGATGCGCAACGTACCGGACTGCAAATGGCCACACAAAATGGGGGGCAGCCGCATGGATCATGGAGGTACGAGCGACCTCCATGACTAGGCCAATGCGGTGCTCAGTAACCCCATTCTGCTGCGGAGAGGCCGGAAGCGTGAACGACTGGGTGATGCCCTCCCCATGACAAAAGTATCGCAAGAGGTCGGAGGAAAACTCACCACCGGAGGAAGGTCCGTATCGAACCGCTCGCGGAGCTGGAGACGGACAACGTGGATCTAAGGGATCAAAACATCATGGACCTCACCCTAACTGCGCAAGGGGAAGACCATGGTGTAACACGAGTAGTCGTCAACAACCAGCAAAAAGTATCGCTTGCGGCCCTGTCCCTGGATGCGGGCTAGTCCCCACACGTCCAAGTGGAGAGTCTGCAGGGGAGCAGTCCTTGGGGGAAACGAGGAGGAGTGAGGAGCGGCGCGCCGCCGCCCCTCGACACAGGGAAGGCAGGGAGGGGCAGGCGAGGGTAGGAGGGGAGGCAGAGTCCTGGGAAGACCAGAGTCAAGAAGGCGAGAGTGCATGCCACGGAGACGTGGCAGTGAGGGGTGACCAAGGCGGTGGTGCCGAAGGAGAGTCTGGTGCGACAGGGCGCGATAGGAGCAGGAGGCTGCTAGCGGACCTGATGCGGACGCAGACGCAGCTACCTGAGGAGGCGCAGTAGTCAGTGTGTACATGCTCGACCCAAGCCGACGGGTGAACGTGGCCAGGTGACGGCCCGTCCGTGCACACGTGTAGATCGCGACACGCTGTCCCCCAGGAGTAAAGGTATTAACCCATTCATTCTAAAGGATGGCGTTGCTCACCAAGTTCATAGAGAACGAGGGGAGGTGAAGACTTGGCAATGAGCCAGACGGAACCGCCGGGCACGGGAGAACAGTGGAGGAACGTGAAAGAACCGGTCCAATAGAGGAATCAGCCAGATAGACTGCAACCGGTGCTGTGAGTGGTGTGACTGTGGTGCTGTCACGAAAGAAGCAATGGGAAGCACCTGAGTCATCAAGCGTGAAGGTGTGCAAGGTCTCAGCAGGCGCAGTACCAAAGAGAGTAGACTCACCAGCACCTAGAGCAGACTCACCAACACCTAAAGCAGCAGGCGCTATACTAGGGTCGGGCGGCACACACAGGTAACAGTCACCTTGAGTACTAGCATACATGGCAATGAGGATAGTGTCATAGCCTAGAGCAAAGATTGTGAAAGTTAAAAGGAAAGAAGAGAGGTTGAACTAGCAAGAATGGGGATACAAATAGCAAACCCTAGAAGGGTTGTACTCGCTATAGAGCACCCCACTACAGGCTAGAGCATAACATTCTGACACACCCCCATAGCCAAAGTGGGGTGTAATCAGCAGAGCAAGCAAAGCAGAACAAGCTCAGGGTGGATCACAATGTCACCACACATTCTGAGCACAAGTTCAAGAAGCGACAGTTTAAAGTTTACAAATGTAAGCAAAGCTAGAGGCTATAGCAGAGGGCAAGTGAGGAGGAGGAGGCGAGACTGTAAGAGGAGAGGAGATAGGAGGCGACGACTGAAGCTGCAGACACACGGGCAACAGGAGGCACACTGGCACAGCGGCTACCGGAACAACGCTCCGGACTACTTGAGTAACTGGCCCCGCGGCTTAAAGTAGCGGCAGACGAGCAACGGACCCACGGGCGGCTGGCACAGCTGGCTACGACTGGGCTACCGGACAAAGTCCCCGGACTACAGGTGCTGCTGGCGACACGACGGCAACCTCCATTCAGCTTCCCCAAACTATCCCACCCCCCCTGACACACACCCCCTACTGCACCCCTAGGGTCACTCACACCCCACCCCCTAGCACGACTCCGTCGACTCCCACACACCCACCCCCCTCAGCGGCAGCTGCAGCAGTGGGAGACAGAGGAGGAGGAGGAGCAGGGGAGACCACACACCCGCCACCCTCCTCTGATACCATGTTAGAATCCTAGCGTTTAGAGGGCTTAGGAGCCATGGCTAGTGAGAGTCTTAGTAGATCGAGTTCTAGGGTAAGGAGAATGTCGAGAAAGTTGAGAGAGGAGAAAGAGGGTTTCACTATAGGTTGGCAACAACATATAGCAAAGAAACAAAGAAGGTGCACCACCAAACAAAGTTTATAATAACTACACTAACTACAGCTACAGGCAGTTACAGATATATTCTGACACTCCCCCATAACTGCCTGCAGCAGAAGCTAATGCAGAGACACCCCTCTGAAGGGGTACACCAAGCGCAGCAGAAGGAGAGGGCAAGTGAGGAGGAGGGACTATATGAGGAGAGGCTGCTGGCAGGTGAAGCTGCTGGCTCCAAGGCGGCTTCTTCCTGGAACCTTCCTCAGTCCTCCAACTCCCCCTTCCATACTTCTTGACAACCCTAGCACCTCTCACCCAGTTCCCCCACACCCTCATACCCACCCACCCCCCCCCAGCGGCAGCTGCAGCTGTGGGAGAGAAAGGAGGAGGAGGGGAAGGGGATCACACACACCCATCACCCCCATACCCGCCACCCCGAGAGCCTCCGTTCCACGGCTGCACGCGCAGCAAGGAGACGAAGAAGAGGGGGGGGGGAGGGGGGGGGGTAGAGCAGAGGGCGCGGGTAGCAGCAGGGCGCACGAAGGCGCGGGCAGCAGAGCGCACAAGGGCGCGGACAGCAGCAGAGCGGCAACTGGCAGCACAGGCACGGGCAGCAACGGGCAGCAACAGGCAGCACAGGCTCGGGCAGCAACGGGCGGCAACAGGCAGCACAGGCACGGGCAGCAACGGGCGGCAACGGGCAGCACAGGCACGGGCAGCAACAGGCAGCAACAGGCAGCACAGGCTCGGGCAGCAACGGGCGGCAACAGGCAGCACAGGCACAGGCAGCAACAGGCAGCACAGGCACGGGCAGCAACGGGCGGCAACAGGCAGCACAGGCACGGGCAGCAACAGGCAGCAACGGGCAGCACAGGCACGGGCAGCAACGGGCGGCAATGGGCAGCACAGGCACGGGCAGCAACGGGCGGCAACGGGCAGCACAGGCACGGGCTGAAACAGGCAGCAACGGGCAGCACAGGCACAGGCAGCAACGGGCGGCAACAGGCAGCACAGGCACGGGCAGCAACAGGCAGCACAGGCACGGGCAGCAACGGGCGGCAACAGGCAGCACAGGCACGGGCAGCAACGGGCGGCAACGGGCAGCAACAGGCAGCACAGGCACGGGCAGCAACAGGCAGCACAAGCACGGGCAGCAACAGGCAGCAACAGGCAGCACAGGCTCGGGCAGCAACGGGCGGCAACAGGCAGCACAGGCACGGGCAGCAACAGGCAGCACAGGCACGGGCAGCAACGGGCGGCAACAGGCAGCACAAGCACGGGCAGCAACAGGCAGCAACGGGCAGCACAGGCACGGGCAGCAACGGGCGGCAACGGGCAGCATAGGCACGGGAAGCAACGGGCGGCAACGGGCAGCACAGGCACGGGCAGCAACAGGCAGCAACGGGCAGCACAGGCACAGGCAGCAACGGGCGGCAACAGGCAGCACAGGCACGGGCAGCAACAGGCAGCACAGGCACGGGCAGCAACGGGCGGCAACAGGCAGCACAGGCACGGGCAGCAATGGGCGGCAACGGGCAGCAACAGGCAGCACAGGCACGGGCAGCAAAAGGCAGCACAAGCACGGGCAGCAACAGGCAGCAACAGGCAGCACAGGCTCGGGCAGCAACGGGCGGCAACAGGCAACACAGGCACGGGCAGCAACAAGCAGCACAGGCACGTGCAGCAACGGGCGGCAACAGGCAGCACAGGCACGGGCAGCAACAGGCAGCAACGGGCAGCACAGGCACGGGCAGCAACGGGCAGCAACGGGCAGCACAGGCACGGGAAGCAACGGGCGGCAACGGGCAGCACAGGCACGGGCAGCAACAGGCAGCAACGGGCAGCACAGGCACAGGCAGCAACGGGCGGCAACAGGCAGCACAGGCACGGGCAGCAACAGGCAACACAGGCACGGGCAGCAACGGGCGGCAACGGGCAGCACAGGCACGGGCAGCAACGGGCGGCAACGGGCAGCACAGGCACGGGCAGCAACGGGCGGCAACGGGCAGCACAGGCACGGGCAGCAACGGGTGGCAACGGGCAGCACAGGCACGGGCAGCAACGGGCGGCAACGGGCAGCACAGGCACGGGCAGCAACAGGCAGCAACGGGCAGCACAGGCACAGGCAGCAACGGGCGGCAACAGGCAGCACACGCACGGGCAGCAACAGGCAGCACAGGCACGGGCAGCAACGGGCGGCAACAAGCAGCACAGGCACGGGCAGCAACGGGCGGCAACGGGCAACACAGGCACGGGCAGCAACGGGCGGCAACGGTCAGCACAGGCACGGACAGCAACGAGCGGCAACGGGCAGCACAGGCACGGGCAGCAACGGGCGGCAACGGGCAGCACAGGCACGGGCAGCAACAGGCAACAACGGGCAGCACAGGCACAGGCAGCAACGGGCGGCAACAGGCAGCACAGGCACAGACAGCAACAGGCAGCACAGGCACGGGCAGCCGTACCGAGTCCAGGAGCGGCGGTGCATACAGCTGTGGGGTCGGCGCCGCGGGCTGCTGGGGCGGCTGCTCCAGGCGCTGCTGCTGCTGGGGCGGCCGCTGGGGCGGCTGCTCCATGCGCTGCTGCTGCTGGGGCGGCCGCTGCAGTGGCGGCGGCTCCAGGGGCTGCTGCTGTTGGGGCGGCGGCTCCAAGGGCTGCTGCTGCTGGGGCGGCTGCTCCAGGCGCTGCTGCTGCTGGGGCGGCTGCTCCAGGCGCTGCTCCTGCTGGGGTGGCCGCTGCAGTGGCGGCAGCTCCAGGGGCTGCTGCTGATGGGGCGGCTGCTCCAGGCGCTGCTGCTGAGGTACAGAGGCGGCGCTGGTGCAAGGTAGGCCCGCGCTCGGCTGCAACGCTGGCGCGGGCGCAGGTGAGGCAGAGGCGGTGGCCAGGGGGGAGGGCGCCGCGACGAGTAGGAACGGCGCCCAAGGGGTGCCGCTACGAGTAGGGGCGACGCCCCAGGGGCGCCGCGACGAGCAGGGGCGGCGTCCAGGGGGCGCCGCGACGAGCAGTGGCGACGCCCCGCGGGTCCCGGCGTGGCGTCACGACGAGCAAGGCGACGCCGTGCGGGTCCTGCAGGGGCGTCGCGACGAGCAGGAGCGGCGACGCCCGGGTCCCGCAAGTGCGTCGCGACGAGCATGAGCGGCGCCTCGCAGGGCGCTGCGAAGTGGAGGGTACGGGCGGGCAAACCAGGCCCGCCCGTGGACGTGAGGCAGGCGCGCAGGCGGCGTGAGGGCAGGCCACGCGCGGGGCAGGAAGACGCCGCGCGCCCAGGGCGCACGGCGGGCAGAAGCCCGCCGTGCGCCCGGAGCACACGGCGGGCAGAAAATCGCCGTGCGCTACGCCGCGCGCCCGGGGCGCACGGCAAGACGATAGGCAGCGGAAGCAGGAAGGCAGCAGGAACGTACCTGCTCTGAATACCATGTGAAAGTTAAAAGGAAGAAAGAGAGGTTGAACTAGCAAGAATGGGGATACAAATAGCAAACCCTAGAAGGGTTGTACTCGCTATAGAGCACCCCACTACAGGCTAGAGCATAACATTCTGACAAAGATATCCACCGTGTTCCTATGGAGCTGTAGCCAACGGGGTAGCTCTGCCTCGTCGCCAAACACTGCACGCCAGGCGTCGCTCAGACAGGCGAAGCAGCGAGCCTGTGTACGACCAAGTGTCCCGCATGTCTGACCAGCCCGATCACCTGTGCGAATGACGTACGGACATCGGACAGTACTCCAAGTCCCCCCATTTTGAGTGTACCACTCACGAAGCTACTCGAGCGTAAGGGTCTCGCACGGACGCCGCTGCAGCTGCATCTGGCCACCGCCAGAAACTCCACACTGAACGGCTCCACCGCGACTACCACTATGGCTGCCGCCACCACTCCAGCTGCTGTCACCACCGCCGTCACCGCTGCGACCGCTACCACGAAGAGAAGTCATAGCGGGCCAAGTTAGGAGACGTGCGACCAGTAGGGCGGTACGGAGGGAAGGCAGTAGCATGAGCAGCACCAGCAGCAGTAAGAGTAGCAGAGCGGCTCGGTGAGGCTAGGCTGCAGCACCTCCAACACTCCTAGCAGCACCTCCAGTAGCAGCAGCACTAGCACGAGCAGCAGGGTGGATCGAGTTGGGCAGGGCAGCTCGGGCTGGGCGGCACGACTCGGCGTGGGCGGCGCAGGCAACAGGGCGCGCGCTGTGCAGGGCAGCAAGGCGCGCGCTGTGCAGGGCAGCAAGGCGCGCGCTGTGTAGGTCAGCAGGGCGCGACGCGCGGGCAGCAGGGCGCGGCGCATGAGCTGCAGCAGGGCGCGGCGCATGGGCTGCAGCAGGGCGCGACGCGCGGGGTAGCAGGGCACGACGCGCGGGCTGCAGCAGGGTGCGACGCGTGGGCTGCAGCAGGGCGCGACGCGCGGGTTGCAGCAGGGCGCGACGCGCAGGGCGACAGGGCGCGACGCGCGGGCTGCAGCAGGGCGCGACGCAAAGGGCAACAAAGCGCGGCGCGCGGGCTGCAGCAGGGCGCGACGTGGGGCAGCAGGGCGCGACGCGCGGGGCAGCAGAGCGCGATGCGTGGGCTGCCGTAGGGCGCGACGCACAGGGCAGCAGGGCGTGACGCGCGGGCTGCAGCAGAGCGCGATGCGCGGGGCAGCCGTAGGGCACGACGCGCAAGGCAGCAGGGCGCGACGCGCAAGGCAGTAGGGCGCTACGTGCGGGCTGAAGTAGAGCGCTACGTGCGGGCTGAAGCAGGGCGCTACGTGCGGGCTGCAGCAGGGCGCGACGCGCAGGGCAGCAGGGCGCGAGCTGCAGCAGGACGCGGGTCAGCGCGATGCGGGGCAGGGCAGGGCGTGCGCGGGGTAGCGAGACGCAGGGCAAAGCAGGGCGAATGCGGGGCAGAGCAAGGCGTACGTGGGGGAGCGCGACGCAAGGCAGGGCAGGGCAGGGCGCGAGCTGACGGCACAGCGCAGGGTAGGGCATGGGGTAACGCGGTAACTGCAGTCCGTCACTAGGTAATGGTGGGCACAAAAAAAACGGTCCTACGGACCTAGTTCTCTAAAACCATGTAAGAAACTAATGAGCCGGAATGATTACATTGACATCAAACTGGGTACCGTATTCTCCTGGACATAACACCCTAGGGTAGATTTAAAAATACAGAGAAAAAATGGGGGTTGTCTTCTAACATGAAAAAGCTACATAATACACGGGTCTTATTATATAGCACATTGTATTTTAAGCAGAAAATAAAGGAAACAAAAACAGTATTCCGTCCTCACACTTAGTTTGTTGAACGGGGGCGCAAAACCGCGTCGTCGAGGATTATGTCACCTGCCACTGGAATTTGCCACATGGCTGGGTTCTAGTGGGCCAACTGAGGCAGCTTCGATGACAGCAATGCCAACCTCGCGCAGCTTGGGTTCATGCACAGTACGGTGCTGTACATGGCCCGAGTCGCGCACGGTGCTGAGAGGTCACTGCACCTGTGACCTCTTGATATCCGTTTGGTTACGTCCAGGCCTCCTCACATGGCCCTCAGCTTCCCTTCGGTCAATCGGCTCCAGTGCACGTTTTTTACAAGAGCTCGGCTGGCTATGAGAGCGACTCCTTCTTGTGCTCATTTTTGCTACTTTCAAATCTCGTCCGCCATGGCAAGAAACACCATCCCCCTGTAGTTCACAAGCATGGCGTCATCTCCAGACTCTAGCAGTACCGTTGATAGGCGGCAGCGCCCTTTTACCGTTCAGACTGGCGCTGCTACACGCGCACAGACGTCTCCTTGCCCTATCCTGCCCCAGCCGGATGCTCCCGGTAGTGCTTCTGCGTGGGATGAACCGAGCACTAGCTCTGAACGTCCTCGCCCCACCCTTCCTCGAGTAGTTGTCCCCACCTTTGCTTAGCGTAACCGCCCACAGGGACAGATCAAGCGCAACGCCGATGCTGCACCGCCAAGTCCTCGCCACCGCATGACGAAATGCCAGCGGAATGCCATCACCGCGAAGGAGAAACTCCACTGGTTGAAGATGCAGGACTCTCAGCCCGACCTCTCTAATCGCGCGCTGGCGAAACTCGCGAACGTGCAGCCCTGCCAGATCCGCGAATGGAAGAAGTTGAGGGCGCGGCTGGAGGTTGCTTCCAGCTGCCGCTGTCGCCTCATGGGGCACGGGCGCAAGTCCAAGTACCCGTTCATCGAACTGGCTATCTACCGCCAGTTCGTGAAGCACCAGGCAAAGGGCCTTGCCGTCACGGTCAGCATGCTCCAGAAGTGGAGCGCCAAGTACATGAAGCACAGGATGCCCGGGGTCAACTGGCGCGCTTCGTTCCGGTAGGCGACTCGTTTCCGCGCGCGCTGGCATTTGGCGAGGCAGGTGAAGACGAAGATGGGACAGAAGCTGGCAGCGGGTAAGTGAAGAATGTGCTAATGTTTCGGCTAATAAGAAGCTAATGCAAGGGGTAACCCATGGCAATGTTTAGCTAATGTTTTTCGTTGCTCTGCTCGCAGATTGCAAGGCCAAGGTGGAGTCGTTTTGGGAGTTCGTGCACCAGATGCGCTCTCTGCATGATTACCCGCTCGACCTCATTGTGAACGTGGGCCAGATGCCGCTTTTCCTGGAGATGCCGGCGGAGCGCACGCTCGAGATGAAGGGAGCGCGCACGGTCCACGTACTGAGTGCGGGCTATGAGAAGGAGCGTGTTACTATCATGCTGGCAGTAATGGCGAGCAGGCTCAAACTTCCGCCGTACGTGGTTTTCAAGCGCAAGACCATCCCAAATGTGGCCATCCCTGCCGGTAAGCAACATACGATTACGATGTTGTCCGTGCTCTTCCCTGTCTAATGTCGCAACTGAACCTGACGCTCTTGTGTTGTTTGGCAGGTGTGGTGGTCCGTGCACAGGACAAAGGGTGGATGGACGAAGCCCTGGAGTAGGATTGGATCACCCAGGTGATGGTGCCGTTTCTGAAGCCCCTGCGTGACACAAACGGACGCCACAGGGAGGGCTTGGTTGTGCTCGACTCCTTCCGCGGCCATTTGACCGAGGCGGTCGGGCAGACCATGCGGATGTTTCGGCTGTCCCGAGCTGTCATCCCAGGGGGCTGCACACCCCTGGTGCAGCCTCTAGATGTGTCGGTGAACCGCGCATTCAAGTGCGGTGTGCGTCATCGCTACAGTGTCTGGTTTGAAGACCACCAACCTCACCACCAAGGCTGGTGATTTGAAGCCCTAAGATCCACTTGGTTTCCGTTGAATTTGTGTCAGCGTGCGCTCGGTATGCTCACGTTCGTCCTTGTCTACCTTTCCCCGTCCCCCAGGCAATCTCAAGAAGCCGCCAGCGGAGTTGGTGCTCCGCTAGATCGATGAGTCCTGGGAAGCAATCCCAGAGGAGCTCGTGAAGAAGGCGTTCGTCACGTGTGGGATCTCCACCCCCATCGATGGCAGCGAGGACCACCTCATCCTTGCCCACATGCGGGACAAGAGTGAGGTGGAGGTCCTTGACGATGTTAACGACCTGGTTGACGACAATCTCGTCGTCAACCCCTTATATGATGAAGTCCCCATGCCGGCCGAGGAGCTGCAGGCAGCGGCACAGGAGGATGACGCCGCCGAGGAGGACGTGGAGGTGGCGGCAGCAGAGGAGGAAGGGGTCGTGCTTAAAGAAGGTGGGGAGGTTGAAGAGCTCAGCGATGACGAGTGGTGGCGGCCTGGCCGCTAAGACGGGGAAGAGTGTGAAGAGTGGCAGGCAGGGGACGATTCTGAGTAAAAAACATGTAGAGCTCTCTGAAGCTGAAATTGTAGATGTCTAGTGTGTGGTGATGTTGTGGCTATGGAGATGCAGTCTAGGTGACATTGACAATGTCTAGGTGCAGACGCTGTACTTCTGTAGTTCCTGTAATGTCACATGTATGAAATGTGAGCGTAGTTATCGTTTTTTTCCGGCTATAACACCTCCCCAGGGTCTTATAGAGAATCAGCCAAAAAGGGGGGTATAGTAGAAACGAGGTCGCCCATAGCACCCACCCCGCACAAGCTACTCGGGGGTGCTCTATCATGGGGGGGTGTTTTGTCCGGGAGAATACGGTACAAGTATAGCCCTAATTGGTGTTGGGCTGAAAAGACCCTTAGGATCTTTGCAGGACTAAACTCCTGGTAGGGTTGATGTAATAACGGAAGCGTTTAATGAAGAGCTGTGAACCACCTTGCGCTCGTATGTGAGCAGGGCCCAAAATTGGTTTTTGGGCAATGTTAGGAATCAGGGTGCCTTGCTGAGGTCACCCTATCTCTCAGGATGATTTTTTTTCCACCCTGTCAAAATCAGGGGAAGATAAGTGGGCTGGAAAAACACCCTGATTGTGTAAGGGTAGTATTATGTTTTCCTTTTTTTCTCGTTATGTAGCTAACTCAAATCTTCAATCTGCTCGCTGCGAGACTCTGCTTTCTACAACACTGGCATTACTAATGTTTGAGCGGGGCTGGAGCGAAATCGGGGGAGTGGGGCGGGTGATGGCGGGATTGGGGGAGGGGGGGAGGGGCTTGTGAGAGGATAAGGAAATGGGCGAAATGGGATTCAGAGTTGCGAGGGAACTGGGGCGAGAGGGGCTGGGAGAGGTGAAGGGAATGGGGGGAATGAGGCTTGGTGAGCCGAAGGGAAGAGGGGATGTTGTGAAAGTTTAGAAGAAAGAAGAGGGCTTCACTAGAAAGCAGCAGGATACATATAGGAAACCCTAAGGGGTTGTACTCGCTATAGAGTACCCCACTGCAGGCTAGAGAACAATGACATTCTGACACACCCCCATAGCCAAAGTGGGGTGTAATCAGCAGAGCAAGCAAAGCAGTACAAGCTCAGGGTGGATCACAATGTCACCACACATTCTGAGCACAGGTTCAAGAAGCAACAGTTAAAAAAGTTCACAATTATGAGCAAAGCTAGAGCTAATCACAGCGGACAAGTGAGGAGGAGGAGGAGCTGTGGGGGAGAGAAGATGGGAGGCGACTGCTGACGCCGCAGACAAACAGACGAGCTGCTGGCTCAGTGGCTACCGGAACAACGCTCCGGACTACTGGAGTAACTGGCCCCGCGGCTAATAGTAGCGGCAGACGAGCAACGGACCCACGGGCGACTGGCGACTACCGGAGATTGTAGCCTCCGGACTGCTGCTGCTGCTGACGACAAGACTGTTGCCTCCACTCAACCTCCCCCAACTGCCCCACACTCTCGACACACACCTGCTGCTACACCCCTAGCTCCACTCCCCCTTCACCCCCCCCAGTACCACTCCACCGGCTCCAAGAAGTCCACCCCCCCTCAGCGGCAGCTGCAGCACAGGGAGACGGAGGAGGAGGAGGAGCAGGGAACGGCACACAGTGGCTTCACCCCCATACCCCCCACCCCAAACCCTAATTCAGGAGAATGGGGAGTAGGAGGGATGGGGCGCCAGTAGAAGCACGGGGGACAGCGGGGAGGGCAAGGGCAGCGAGGAATGGGCCCACCACGGGTCTAGTACAGTCGCCCGAGCCGCGCGCAGGCGGCCCGAGCCGCGCGCGGGCCTGGCGCCGCCCATACGAGCCGCGCGCGGGCCTGGCGCTGCCCGTACGGGCCGCGCGCTGCCTGTACGGGCCGCGCGCAGGCCACGACGGGGGGCGACGCGCGGGTCCCCGTCGCCCGTCGCGGCGCCTCCCGAGGGCGACGCGCCGAATGACGGGGCAGAAGCCCGCCGCGCGCCTCGGGGCGCACAGCGGGCAGACAACCGCCGCGCGCCTCGGGGCGCACAGCGGGCAGAAAACCGCCGCGCGGCCCGGGGCGTACGGCGGGAAGAAAAACTGCCGCACGCCACAGAGAGTAGTGGTAGCAGTTGCATCGGAAGCAAGGAGGTGGTAAGCCCACCCACAGGATCGATCCAAGAGGATCGACCTGCTCTGATAGCATGTGAAAGTTTAGAAGAAAGAAGAGGGCTTCGCTAGAAAGCAGCAGGATACATATAGGAAACCCTAAGGGGTTGTACTCGCTATAGAGTACCCCACTGCAGGCTAGAGAACAATGACATTCTGACAGATGTGCGAGGTTGGATTGGAAGAGGCGAGTGGAACGCGGGTGATGGGGCTGGGAGAAGGGAACAGATTGGCAGGACTGGGGCTCGAGGGAGCGGCTGGTATGGAATTTGCGAACGAAATGGGGGCGTAGGGCTGAGAGGAGGCGCGAAAAAAAAAAAAAAAAAAAGATTCAAACGGCCCGTCGTTTTCTGGTTCAGTGCATTTTTTTCTGCACCCTATCTGGCAAGGATAAAAATCAGGGCACCCTAGCTAAATCAGGCTAACCTGTACGTCTACACTTTTACAGGAAGGGGAACAAAGCAAATAGGCTTACAAAATCAGGGTAAACCCCAAAAAGTGGCCGCTGATAAGTGTACGGTAATCAGTGTGTTTTACCCTTGAAAAATAGGCCATGTATGTGAGGGCAAAGTAGGTTGATTAATAACAAAGAGATACAATCTTTTATATGAGTACAAGGGAATATGAAGGGTTATAACTGATAACCGTTTTACTATTGCTGTTGCGGTTCGATATAGCGACGACTCGGGCAACTGCTTAAGAGCGAGTCAGTTGTTTGTCCTTGCTGTCGCGCTGTACTTGTTAGGTCAAAGGTCGCTGACCTTTGACTTTCGCGTAACCTCCAGCAGTTATTCAACCTCCGAGGGTTGACTCGCTGATGCTTCGATATGTTCTGCTTCGCTTCTGACTTGGTGTTTCGACACGACAGAGGCGCTTATATCAATTGTTTCCAACAATTGGGTTGTACCCCATATAGGCAAGGCCATGTTGGGATATGCTAGTAATGCATAGTGCCAGCATAGCAGAAACTGATATTGGTCCCCTCCCTTACAGTGAAGAACAACAAAATATTGTTGATGTAAGGCCAACTGTAAAGTGATACCGTAACACACAATTTTCTAAACCTCACGATAAGCCACACCGTAGAGTACTGTATTCTCCCGGATAAAACACCCCCCCCGTAATTGTACACCCCCGGGTAGCTAATACGGGGTGGGTGTTATATCCGACCCCGTTTGTACTATACCCCCCCTTTTGGGGTGATTTTCTACAACACCCCCCTTTTCTTATAGATTCCTATTATAGCTGTTATCGAGTCCGATTCCTTACTGGAGGATATCGCGAGAATTGCTCCGTAGGTGAAATTTCGCGTGTACTTTCACTTAAAATATGCCAAGATTTCCCCCCTCCCACAATCTCGCTGTCGCCACGCTGGTGAATCTTCCGCTGCAAGTGGCCGAATAGGTGAAAATCACCTTCTCACATGAGGGACAAAAACGTGACCAAACCAGTCAAGAAGTGACTGGTACAGTAAGAACGCACCACCGTGCGCGATTCTGGCCTCGGCAGTTGCATGAACCCTCGCCATGCAATTGGCTTTGTTTTCACCCTATCAAGTGCCAAAATTGCCCACTCGAATATGCCACGTGGCAGATTCCAGTGGGCGGTCACGTTATCCTCGTATACTCGGTTTTGCGGCACTGGTCAACAATCTTGAAGTGAAGTCAGACACCTGATTTTGTTTCACATCTTTTCTACGTGATAAAAATTATACCATATAATAAGACCCGGGTATTATGTAGGATTTTCCTTTGAGGAGACCCCCCCCATTTTTTCCCAGTGGTTTTCATAATACCCTAGGGTGTTTTATCCGGGAGAATACGGTAGTCTCTGTGGAAACACTTGAGATGGCATATTTATGTCGTGGCTTTGCATGTCTCGTGCTAACCAGCACTACAATGCTACACTACTCCTTCCTCACATCACAGCCCACCATCACCTCCAGCCTTCCCTCCTTCCGCCACCGCTCGTTTGCTGAACCAGTACCGATCCTTATTAACACTCAGAAACCCAGCCCTCTCCTTCCCTCCGGTGACCCTCAGATTATCAATCAACACAGACCAAGTGGATCCCAGCGTTCCCACGAACAAATCCGCCTCGGCTGCAAGAACCAGATTTACAAATGCGTTGTCTGATGTTGGCCCCATACCCACATCAGCTTCATAAGACTTCATGGAAATATTAGCCGCACCTTGTCGGGGAAACTGGGTGTATCTGACAGCCCAGCGCGGGGAGAGCAGGCGAGTAGCTTCTTGCACCACGTCCTGTGAGATCGAGAGGGGGGGGACGGCAGAGAGGGTGGGAAGAGGAACAGGAAAGAGGGCATTGTTTGAAGTGGCTCAGAAAACCGACTTCCACTTTCAACACCACCCACTTCACCCCAAGGTCCATCCACCCACTCACACACCCACACAGCCACCCAACCACTTCCAACCGCTCACAACCACTCCACCCACCTTCATTTCCGTGCTCAACCACATGGTGGTAACATCTGGGAAGTTTCTCCGCGCCTTCTCAGCAAGCTCCAAATAGGCGGACAGAGGCAGCAGGTGCATTTCAGAGGACTTATCACCCTGCCTCACGTGCACAGCCACGTATCTCCTCCCCACGCCAGGCTCTCTCACTGCTGCCCATACAGGCTCCAGCCCCTGGTATCGCTTCTGATGCTTGATCAATTTGGTGGGGGTCAGATGCACCTGTGAGAGGATATGTAGGGAGTGCAAGGTACAGAAATGAGGCGTGATAGGACGAATGGGGCTTTACAGGCAGGGTGGGTTGGCAAGCAGGCATGTAGGCAGGCAGGCAGGCACAAACTACAGTCCCCCTCTTCGCCTTCACTGCTCATTCAACCGCACTGAGGCCCTCACAGGAACTCACTTGCG